TTCACAGCCTAACACCAAGAGAGAATAATATGTTCGTCCCGCGACGAAGTGAAAAAGAGACGAGACAGAGATAGATAGATAGATAGATAGATAGATAGTTAGAGAGAGAAATTAATTCGTAAAATATTTCCGTCTAATGACGTGTTAGCTATACAAAATATCGCGAGCATGATTGTACATTTTTTTTGTTATCTTCCCCGCAATTTTTCTTTTTTCTTTTTTTCTTTATTCGTCAAATAAAATAAAAGTATATAAAACGGAAAAAATAATGATACCTTAGCCTTTTCTTTTTTCCCCCCGTCCAATGATAGCGATATCTAAACGATAATAATCACGTATAAATATTATACCATGTAAACGAAGGACTTTATTTTTTTTTTTTATTTTTTTTTTTTTTAATCCCTATGCTTTAAGGGTGATAAGATTATCTATCGAATAAGTAACGCAGCTGAGTAAACAGAAAATCAAGAGACGCGAAAAACGTCATTTAATAAAATTTACGCTATGTTTATCAATTACTTAAGTTTATCAATTTTATAAAAAATAATTGTACTTTTGATAAACAGTTTAGGGAGAAAAAATGCAAATGAAAAGTAAAAGAAAAATACAGAAAAATACAGAAAAATACAGAAAAAAAATTAATATAAATATATATTTCGATTTGAACAATATAATAATGTGAACTCATACTTAATGCTTTCGAATATTTGTAAACAAACATTTATTTGTACAAATGATTATACAATTAAACCCGTAGCCTTTGTTTCTTTTATAACAGAGCTAATACGACGTACGTACATATGAATGATCAAACAATAGAGAGAGAGAGAGAGAGAGAGAGAGATACATAGCTAACATCGAGTAACAAGTGTAACTGCATACACGTGTGCATTCACGACGATGCAGCTCGGTTACAAATCTTTCGGTCGTTAGGAGAAGTCAGATGTGAGGAAGGGGGGCAGAGGAGGAGAGGGGGGGGGGGGGGGGGTGAGAGATCGACGATGCATATTGCAACGTCGAGGGATAATTATTTATGAAGTAGAGAAGAAACACGAAGGCACGTATACTCCCAATGGAAAGTCGTTATTGCGGATAATAGTACTAATAAATCGTGAATAACTATGAAAGTGTGTGTGGTATGTGTATGTGTGTGTGTATGTGTGTCTACTTCTGAGCTTTAAACATTGAGATAAAGATAATACATTGTAAGAACACCCACTCTCACACCCACGCAAAACGCAGTTAAACTCGTCGATCGGTACAGGTAAAATCAAAAGTCGATTTTCACATTTCGATTTTGTTATTCATAATAAACTTATTAATTTCTTTTCTTTCTCAGAGAGAAAGAAAAAGAGAAAGAGAGAGAGAGTGAGTGAGAGAGAGAGAGAGAGAGAGAGAGAGAGAGAGAGAGAAGAGAGAAAAAAAAAAAAGAAAATTTGAATTGATTATATTCTTATCATTGATTTTTTCATCGTAAAAAAAAGAAAACGATTGTTTCTAATAAGAAATATTTCTTGTAAAATATTTCTAAAATTAATGTTATCTTTTTTATTATAATATCTCGACTCTTTGGAGAAAAAAAAAAAAAAAAAATGAAAAAAAAAAGGAAAAAAAAAAAAAAAGAAAAAAATATGGAGAAACTGAAACCGAGTCCCTTCTGATGTTAATTAAAAAAATGATTAAGGATATTCCTTATATTCATTAAATATATGCGTTCTTCGAATAGAAGAGAAAAGAAAATTGTATCGTAATTTTTCTTTCTTACATTTTTCTTTTTTCCTTGTTCTTTCTTTCTTTTTTTTCTCTCTTTTTTTTTTTTTTTTTTTTTTTTTTTTTAATCTCTCTAATATACAGAACAACATAGTTCATTACTATAATTTATTCTAATTCAACGAATAATTTTCTATATAATATCTTTTCATTAACTCTACATGGATACTTTTTAATCGACTTAACGAAACAGAGCGAAACAAGAAAAAAAAAAAAAAAAAAAAAAAAAAAAGAAACCAAAATGACGAATATAAATAAAAATGATCATACATGATCGAGATAAAAATTCATTGAAAATATTAGCCTACGTGACACCATATAAGTACACGTTTGGTTTTCACGATTTCGATCCGCCTACGAAAAAATTCGACGTGAAAGTTTCTTTTCGATGCTTTATGAATATTTCTTTCCATTTCCTTTTCTTTTTTTTTTCCTCTCTCTTTTTTCTTAAACTGTCGACACATAACTAAATAAACACACGCACGATATACAAAGAAAACGTCGATTCGAAGATTCTCGCGAAGAGAGAAACATGATCGAAGAGAAGAAACATCTGTTAGGATCTAAGCATGTAACTATACTAGCTAGTAATAGAACACGTAGATTTGTATTAGAAGATCGAGACAAGAAGGAATTTCATTCTAAAAAAAAAAAAAAAAAAAAAAAAAAAAAAAAAAAAAAAAAAAAAAAAAAAAAAAAAAAAAAAAAAAAAAAAAAAGAAAAAAAAAAAGAAAAAAAAATCTAGAATATAATACACGTGGGCCATGTACAGGGTGGGGCAAAAGTTTCTAAGCTTGTAATTTTATAATCTGGAAAAAAAAAAGAAAAAAAGAAAAAAAAGAAAAAGAAAACAAATGTATTGATTTCTAAAAATCTTAGCCCAGCCTGTAGAACAGACTATTAGTTACAAATGTAAAACGATAAAGCGAATTACAAAGGAGATAGATAACAGTTATAAACTAGGTAATAGTTATAAAAGGTTTTCGTGGACAGTTACTTTTAGTTCTGTTTTTCGAGTAGGTAGCTGATCGTCATACCAAACCTACGCTATTTCGACAATGCCTATGGAATACAAACTGAAAGGAAGCGAACTGGCTACGTGAGTAAAACGTATATGCGTATGTGTATTCTGCAGTGTATGTGATTATCCTGTCAATTAAGTTCTGCTTAGAAGTCGACGACGTTGAGAAAAATGATTTCGAAACTAACGGGTGCTTAATATATAAAAAAAAAAAAAAAAAAAGATAAAAAAAAAAACCGAACGTGATATTGTTCGATCGACGATTAGTGCATTAAATACCTGAAGAAAATAATTAAATGCATACAAAAAAGATATAGGGGAAAAAAAAATTCCCAGACTTATAGTTTTATAATCCGATAAAAAAAAATAAATGAAACATTGTCCTTAATGAAAAAAAAAATTTTTGAAAAGAATAAGTTCATTTTTAATATCATCCTATAGTTATCATCCTATATTATTATATCGCACGAATCGCAGGAGTTACGTTGAAAAGTTTTGAACAATTTGCTTTTAAATTAAATATAAAATTAATTCTAATGAAATCTAATTAAATCGCATGATTGTTAATTCTAACAAATAAGAAAATAGCTGAGATCAGATCTATCCCAGAGCTGATTGTTCTGATAGACGAGAGCGAAATCGTGTCCTTGACATTATTTTACTTCGTGACTGGATCCAGCATCCAGCATCCAACATCTAACGACGACGACGACGACGACGACGACAACAACAACGACAACGACAACGACAACGACAACGACAACGACAACGACAACGACAACGACAACGACAACGACAACGACAACGACAACGACAACGACAACGACAACGACAACGACAACGACAACGACAACGACAATAAATCTATCGGCGAAGCTATTTCCTTCTACTACCATAGTATATATGTATGTATGTATGTATGTATATAATATATATATTATCTCGTTGAGAGAACTCGTCTCACTAAAACACTTGCATCTATACGATATATCGATCACCTCTAACGTCATTTCTAATGTCCCCCTACTTTTCATATCTATTACGAAGATCGCATGAATGAATATACAACCCAGATACATTTGTCGATTTTAAATGACTATTTATTATTTATAACTTATTTATTAAATTACTAAATGTTATAAATACTAAACATTTTTTTTTCTTTTTTTTTTTATTAACGCAAATCGAATGCTACGAAAATTACGTTAATAGTAATATTTTTAGATTTCTTTCTTGGAGATAATTAAAAAAAAAAAAAGAAAAAATACTAACGGTACATTTTTCAATTAAGAACAAAATCTAATATAAATATATTTATGCCGATAATAAATTCGAATAACAGAGAATTCAATTAATTAAACTAACGACGGAATCTTGATACACTAATCAATAACTTACGTTAAACGTACGTATAAATCTTCTTCTTTTTTTCTTTTTTTCCATTGTTTTGTTCTCTCTAACATTTATAAAACAAAATACGTATAATTTCTTTAATCGAAATCAAAATCAAACAATTAACAGACTATATTTAATTATTTCTAACATTATTCTCGTTCATATTTATCTCCATACGTCCATCCATCCATCCACCCATCCATCCATCCATCCATCCATCCATCCATCCATCCACCCATCCATCCATCCATCCATCCATTAGTATTACAATCTAGGCTTTGTTCTCAGTCTTCTTCAAGAGTTCGCATCTCCGTTGATCGTTTGCAATATAATCAATCCACAACTTTTCTTCCTAAAGTTTTCACAAGGTAATTGAGTTTCTACGATGTTAGTTTATCAGTTCAATATTCAACCCCTATTAGTCATCATTTTTACGATAAGCAGGGTATGATATTGTAGATATATTCTCTATCCTCGAACCCACAAGAAAAAAATTCATTTGCGTTTAATAGACAAATAATTATATTAAAGAAAAAAGAAAAATTACATTTTCATTACAAATTAAAATGATGATGATAATTAATAATAATAATAATAATAATAATAATAATAATAATAATAATAATAATAATAATAATAATAATAATAATAATAATAATAATAATACAATTTATCGTCGAAAGAGCACCGAATAAAATAATTACGTTTTTCTTCCGCATTGCGATGTTAAATTTCTCCATCTCTTTTTATTTCTCTCTCTTTCTATGTGTCTCTTTTTCTCTAAAGAGAAATAATATGTAAGTTAAGAACTTACGTAAATGGTAGTGACCGTCGCATTTCTAATCATGTCTCTGACGTCGTCCATCTCTCTTCTGGATGCTCCAGGCGTCGTAGTCGGCGCCAGCATCACTTCACTCGCCATATCTTCTAATCTTCTAATGTATCTTCTTTTATCTTAATATATATATATATATATGTATATATATATATAACACTTAATATCACCGTAACACAATACACAAAATAATGATGATAATAATAATAATAATATATGTGATAAAAATTAATAAGCAAAGTTTACGATTGGATTTCACTTGGAAATCATCATTTCCATTACGAGTTTCACGTTCTTCGTAAACTTGCATACCGACTAACATACTTATTCCTGCCTCTTGTATTTACCATCTTACTTCTTCGAGAGTCAATATACGATTGTCACAATGTTTAAAATGAGACATTGATAGTCGTACAATTTTGCTTGCGAGTAATAACATGCGGCTCTATCTCTCTCTCTCTCTCTCTCTCTCTCTCTTTCTCTCTCTTTTTGTTTACATATCATTCTTTCTCTCTCTCTCTCTCTCTCTCTCACTCTCTCTCTCTCTCTATTTTTTTATCGTGGCACTGTTCCAACACCAAGTCAAATGCAAAATTCTCGGAACTTTTCTAAAAGGACGATAAAGAAACACACGTAGGGACACACGTAAACACAATATATTTTCAAATTAAAACATACGTAATAAATATAAATTATTATGTCCTTTTCTAACACGTTAAAAAGAACGAAGAAAAAAAAATACACAGAGGGAGAAAGAGAGAGAGAGAGAGAGGGCGGGGGGGAAGGGGGAGAGATTTCACATGAATATCCTTGAAAAATATTGTTCCACGAGGTATAACAAAAATTCACTAAACTCTTTGCACTATTTGATTCCCATTATAATTCCCAAATGACAATTATCCTGGAAAGATGCACAAGAATGATTGAGAAGGATAAAAAAAATGAAAAAAAATGAAAAAAAAATGGAAAAAAAAAAGAAAAAAAAAAAAAAGAAAAGGAAAGAAAAAAAATAATCAATTAAAAGATGTTAACTAACGTTTAATAACTATAGAATAGTTCTCGCTCGACGTTTGAGAGAATACTAGAAGCGAAACGCAACCTTCGTTCGTCGTTCGTTCGTTCTTTCTCTATCTTTATCTATACTTCCTCTCATTCTCTCTCACACAGACACGCACACACATACACACTCTCTCTCTTTCTCTCTCTCGCGGGGTCGCATGAGTCAGCTGCTTTGCTACGTATCATCGTCTCTTTCTAACTCATTCTATATGTGTATGTGAATGTGTGTATCTATGCACATGAGAAAAGGTAGGGAAAACCAACACGAAAAGGAGAAGAGAGGAGGAGGAGGAGGAGGAGGAGGAGGAGGAGGAGGAGGAGGAGGAGGAGGAGGAGGATAAGAGGAAAAAGGAGAGATAGAGAAACAGGGAAAGAGAAGAGAAGAGAAGAGGAGGAGGAGGAGGAGGAGGAGGAGGAGGAGGAGGAGGTGGAGGAGAGACACTATGATTCTCTTTCCCTCCGTGTAATCTTGAAACCAGAATACGAACTTTCGACGAGACAACTCGGAGACGATTCTCCTCTTTTTCTTCCTTCTTTCTTCTTCTTCTTCTTTCTTCTTTCTTCTTCTTTTTCCTCTACTCTTATCTTTTATTTTTTTTTTTTTTTTTTTTTTTTTCCTTAAGATCTTATCATTCAATGAAACGAGACACAGAGAATGAGACGTAATTTTTTTTATTCCCAAACGTACGTACGCTAATTTCTATTAATTATTTTTCAATGTTTTTATTAATCATTATAAATTACTAATCATAATAAAAGTTGAATTTTCACATATGTAGAAAAAAAATTATTATTCAAATCAAGTGTAAAAAAAAAAAAAAAAAAAAAAAAATTGTATACAGATATGAATGAATATTATCATTAAATTATATTCTAATATGATTATGATAAGAAATGATAGAATAAAAATTTATCAAAAAGTATAATTAAAATCTAATCACATACATACATACATACATGCATATATACATACACATATACATATATATATATGTATAAAATGATATTTCGTTATAACTGATATACTTTTCCTAGCTAGAATAAATAACAAAAGGGAAATAAAAAAAATCGATCATTCTTTAACGATCGTGTGAAAAATCGTAATAATTAATCGTTATCGTGCAATGATCCTATGAGAATGTTAGAGAAAGTTTAACAAAGAAAAGTTTAACAAAAAGTAAGAATGGAAAGCTCTTGATTTCTTTTTCATAGTGTGTGTGTGTGTGTGTCTGTGTGTGTGTATGTATATTTCCTCGCGACAACTAAACGTCCAGTTATGCGGCACAACAATTTTTATTCTTATCCGTGCGAACGCAGGATTCACGAGGCGACTTTGGTTGGCCTCTCTTCTTTCTTTTATACTACTACGAAACATGTCTTTCGTTGTATAACAATGATAATTACAGTCACGATCCTCCCTGACGACGTTTTCCTTTCGTTATACCAGCCAATTGCATTAATTATGAACTAGATGATGCACGAAACGACGTTTATTCTGTGGAATCAGACACTACTCACATGTTTCTTTAATTTTTATTTTATTTTTATTTATTCATTTATTTATTTTTTTTTTTTCTCTCAAATTATTTATATCTATACACATCTTGTGTATTAATCAATTTTTATTTTTTTTTTGTTTTTTACTTTTTTTTTTTTGTTCCCACTTATTATTTAACGAGATGTCAATCGATGTAATATATAGATAATCGTTTCTACTTCTGCAAATAGCATGAGTATTACGAACTGAATAAGTTTATTCCATAGAGAGTATATTATTAATGAGAGTCTTCGTATGTATTGAAATTATTTACGTCATGAATTAATAGATATTTTATTATTTTATTTTATTTTATTTTATTTTATTTCGTTTTTTTTTTTCTTATTCTTAATTTGTTCATACAGAATCGATATAATTGTAATATTGCAAATCGAAGATATCTTTAAATGAAATAATAGTAAATGACATAAATAACGATTAACTTATTTTATTCGTATAATCTAGACACTTTAAAAGATTACTTGATCTTTCTCGATCACGATCTAACTCTGATCTAGGTTTAGACTAGGTTTAGATCGTCTTCAATTCCTGCATTTCCGAGAAAGCACGACACGAAGTAATAGCCTGAGAGTGTGGGTCACGAGCACGTTAATTGCCACGTAAGGAACGCGAAGGTACACCGTGACCATTTATTTTACTTTTTTTTTTTTCTTTTTCTTTTTCTTTTTTTTTTTCCTTTTTCTTCTCCTTCTTCCTCTTTTCCTTCCTTCTACTTTAGTCTATTCCTATAAGTGTTCGAACGTGAAAGGATAAATCTCGATGCAGGTGCAACGGAAAAACTTTGAAATCAAGTTTTTCTGAATCATCGATCAATCGATCGATCTTTTCAAGATCACTAGATCAGGTACTGAATTAATTAGCTTTTCTTTTTCAATTTAGATTATACTACAAATTGTAAAGGATTTTTTCTTTCTTTTCTGTTTTCTATCTTAGGTGATTCGATCGTTTCATAAAGAAAGAGAGAGAGAGAGAGAGAGAGAGAGAAGTAAAAAAAAAAAAATAAATAAAAAAATAAAAAATTAGCTAATAAAACGAAGCTTTCGATCTGTATTACCATTTCTTCAAAAGTTACAACAGTTTTCTATCTTATCGATAAGGAAATAATCTTAGATGTACTATTTGTTAAAATTAAAACAATCTACAATACTTGATTATGAAACATGAAACATTGATCAATTGTTTCATGTTTCATAACCAAGTAGAATGTCTTAATTTTGTGATGGTACCTAATTAAAAGAAAAAAGAAAAAAAAAATGATATAAAAAAGATATATATCTTTGGATTCGCTATAAATTGTATATAACATTTCGATGTATTAGCAACGATGCAAGTCT